TCAAACAATGAACTTTATTTGCTCATCAGGTCCTGCAGCTAACATTACAGGAGCAAAATATCGAATGAAACCTGAATTGGTCAGAAATTGTTTAAAAAGGCAATATTTTTTCAGCAATAGGGTTGTTGATGGATGAAATAGCCTACCAGCAGAAGTATATATATATATATATATATATATATATACATATATATATATATATATATATATATATATATATATATATTTATATATATATATATATATATATTTATATATAAGTATATATATATATATATATATATATATATATATATATATATATATATATATATATATATACATATATATATATATATATATATATATATATATATATATATATATATATATATATATATATATATATATATATATATATATATATATATATATATATATATATATATATATATATATATATATATATATATATATATATTATATATATATATATATAGACGCAGAGGTTTGAGTTAGCGATACTGATTTCGCCGAGTGAAAAGACTATAAGGACTTCTAGGAGTACTTTAATAACTACAAATATTTTTTTAATGTTGTATGGAATTTATTATAAGTTCGTAGAGGCACTAAATGAATCACTATTTTTCACGCTTTATTATAGAATAACCATTTGACTGAGAACCCTCCTATATACAAATTCACTTTGATTATGAGAAGTAATATATTTAAGCACATATAAAATTAATTTCTCCCAAATGAATTGAAAAACATTCTTTTTAGCAAACACGTGTTTTCAAATATGAAATCTAGTTGCTTTCTAGCGGCTCGATGAAATGCTTTGCAACAGTGTTATAACCTTTCTATTTTATGATTATTTAAAAAATGTGTTTTGATGATGAATGTAGACTCATGAACGTAAAACAAAAGAAAACAAAAGAAAACGTTATAAAAGTAAAACAAATAAAAAACGAGGTGTTGTAAATGAAGATACGCTCAAACGTAATGTCATTATAAAAGAAAGAGTAAAATGTAAAGAATACAGAAACTAAAAAGGTGACCTTGCTTTTGTTAAGTTTATTTCAGGTTTCCCTGTGAAATGCAGCTTTTACATTAATTATAAAACAAAAAAATCTGAAATAGTTTTAACCTGTTGAAAACTAATAAATGAAAAAGATTTACATTAACAAACACAATAGATGCAGGGTAGGAAAAAGAAAAATTCAGATGATACTGCTTCAGTTCAACCCAAACCTTACAAACAAAAAGTAAAATAATTGTGTACAGCGTGAATATCAATGGCAAGTATCGTCCAGAATTTACAAATACATGGAGTTTCTTGAGATAGAGTTGCAAGGATATGCAGTCTATTACGCAAAATCAAACACCTGTCGATAAGAGAGAAAAAATCTTGATGAAGATGCAGTTGATGGCAGTGAAATGATCAACGAAAATATTTTGAAGCCAAGTTAAGTGTTTTCAAAATTGTTTTTAATGTTTTAAATAGACCACCCTAGGTTGAGAGAAAAAGTAAAATATAGTTTTTAATTTAAATACTTTAAAAAAATTTAAGTTTATCATTTGAGTGGCCAAAAGTTGATGTTTGCATAGAGCACAAAAATTTTAAGTCAAAACTAAGAGATTCTTATTTAAGAGACAGTGTAAAACGTAGTTAAAATGCTAAACAAACTGTACACCATCCCAAAGCCAAGAAGTTTTATATATAACAAAAGAATATTCATAACAACTAAGTTTCTAATTCTTTTCAGATGCTTTAGCAAATATTCTCAACTTTGTTGAGAATTCTGATGATGAAAGCAATGATTTAGTTGTATAGGATAGAGAATTAGTTATACAAAATTTAATTAAATATTGATTTATGTGAAAAAGATATCTAGTTTTAAAATTTCCCTTTATAAACTTTTAACTAGATTTTGAAGATGAATCTAATAACGATAGCGACATTGAAGACAATGGATACGTTGAGAGCGAGAGACCAAATATAAATCCTACGCAATTACTGACTTACCAAATAAAAGTTCATTCAATAATTTATTAGCATATAATATAAGCAAAAAACAAAAACCTCTAGGTTGTTTTTTGAATATAAACAAAAAAGTTAACAATAAAATAAAAATCAAGTTTCTTGTTGACGTAGTTTAATAAAAAAAACTAATTTAACTTAATTGTATCTCGTTATTTTAGTTTTTTGTTTTCTTGTTGTTTTAGCCAAAGTATTACAGTGATATCAATCTAACATTTATCTCAAATACTTTTTGATAAATTTCCATGCATGTTTTATATCAACTCACCGAACGCAAGTTAAATCATTTTCTTCATGTCCTTTAACTAGTTATCCTCTCGTAAGCCTTTCACACCACTTCCAAATAGAATCAGACGATATCATATTTTCAATAAATAAAAAAACCTAGAGTAGACATAACGAAAAAAGTTGAAATCTATACATATATCCGTTTAAAAGAATCAAAACAGTTAAAATCTATGAATTTATAGTATAAATGTAATTTAAAAGATATTTCTTACCTTTACGGAGAAGGAAAACAAAACATCTTTTTAATAACAACGGGAATCAAATACCCAATTGTAAATTTGCCTGTATTGTAGGATACGGAATTTCTTCCCGTGGATATTTAAAAACTTTAGCTTGGGTATTTCGTACAGTGATACCCCCAAAAATATTTAAATATTCCATTTAGCATTAACTCGTAACCTTTCAAGAATAAAATAAAAAGCTAATTTATCATAAACATAATTTTACATAATACGAAAGTTTACGAAGGAAATGTTTAATTAATCAAAAGAAAAAAAGAAAAATTCTTAGTAACCAAAAAAAAAAACTATGCTTTTTATTAATAAGAGAGAAAGCATATAAACTATTCAAAAGAAAGAATATGTACAACTTTTTTAAAATTCAAACACTAAAATTATATTTTCATCATTTTTTTATTACCTCAGTTCTTTTAAATATTTGTTTTTTTTATGTTGTCTTTTTGATTTGGTATATGATAAAATAATCAAACTATATAATAATATATAGTCAAACTATAGTTTGACTAGAAATTATGACCAAAAAAAATAATTTTTTTTAATTTCTTATTATGTAAAATTATGTTTATGTTAGATTGATCTTGAAAGGTTGCTAATAAAGGCTACAATAGAATATTTAATTATTTTTGCGGGTTTTATTATTATTATTTTTCTTTTTTTGATGAGAAGATAGTAGAGAGCCACTTTAAAGAAAAGGGAAGTGATGTATTTTGGAAAAATTGAAAACGCTCGTGTAGTCCTTGTAGTCCTTGTTATTAGTAACTTTGTTACTAATAACAAGGACTACCCTTAAGTAATATTCTCAGTAAGGCACTCGTCGTCCGGGGGACGTCCAGACGTCCGTAAAACGTCCAGACGTTCGTAAAATGTCTAACGGACGACACATGCCCACTGAGTTGTACCAACACTATAAAGAATAAAAACTAATTCACAAAAACTAGCAACGGCAAACTAATCGGCATATACAATTTTCTTTTTGTTATGTTCAAAAACAAATTTCGTGCGGAAAATAAACTTTTGCATTTAAGTTTTCACAAAAAACTTTTGCTTTTAAACTCCATGACAATAAATTTTTTATTTCTTCTTCAGAACTATGAAATTATTCTCTGTCTATTACTAATATTTTTTAATTACCTTTGCTACCTTTCTGTCAAAATCATAACTTATAACTAAAATACAAAAGTTGAAAAACTGAAAATTTTTTTGAATATAAGTTTTTTCATCAATATTCATAATAAATCTAAAATAAACTTTGTTCTAGTAGTTTCATATCTAATGCTAATTATTTACTATTCATTAGGTGTTCAAGATTAAAGGTTAAACAACAATAAAAAAGCACGTAAAGGCTACCTAAAAACTGGACATTGAAGCAACTAAAATATGCACATAAAGGCTAAATGACAAATAAACATTTAAATAATTAATCAGCTAAAACATTTCGAAGAATCTCAGCTTGACATGTCTAATGTTAGTCTCCCTTTTATATTAGAGTAGACATTATTAAAAATAAGCTTTTGTGAAGTTTATTTGTTTTACAAATAATTCTGTACACGCTTTCAATAGGAAAACGTTTTTGCTGCTTTGTTGTTTGTCTCATTTTAAATTTCCTTTTTAAAGTGATTATGTAAAAAACGTATTATGTATTACATGACTATGTATAAAATATATTAATATTAGTTTCCTTTATTATTTTTGTTATCATATAAATAAATATATATATATATATATATATATATATATATATATATATATATATATATATATATATATATATATATATATATATATATATATATATATATATATATATATATATATATATATATATATATATATATATATATATATATATATATATATATATGTAAACACACACATAAATGCGCACTCAAGCACACACACACATTAAGTGATGTTTAACAATAATGTTATATAAATTTCATGACATGTTTTTACTATATAATTTTAAAATTTATTAATATTTGATATTTGACGGAAAAAACAATTGAATAGATCAAGGTGGAAACATCAAAACGAATGTCAAAATAAATTTAACTTTTAGGCAGTTTTAATTGAATATAAAACAAACGAACTCAGAATAATAAAGTAAAATATGTTTAAAAAAGGTGGTACAATTTATATTGTACCGCCATTTTCAAAAAAATCTTTATTGACAAGGTATATAGTATATAATAGATATAAAAATCGTCAATAAATACTAAAAAAAATAAAAAAAAGTTTGGTATGAAACATTCCTATGTTAAACATTGTGAGTGTATTGAAGTCAAAATTCTAATTTTAGTTACGTGTTTTTTTAATTTATTTTTATTATTGATAAACATATATTTTATTATATGTTGATTTTAGCATAGTGAGTTTATTTAAATTATTTCTTTATAAATCTTTTTACATCTATAATACAAAATACAATAATTGATTGTCAACTTTTATAGGAAAAAAGACTTGTATTTAATTAAAAACAAATTTTAATCAAAGACATTTTTGATTACAACTCTCATGGAACTATTAGTTGCTGTGTATTCACTTTACGTTTTGGCTTTAATTATTTTATCAACTACTTTAAATCTTATCATTTGCTACATAATTCTTTCCAAGATTAAAGCAATTGAGATGCCTCATCTTTTTATTCTAAGTATTTCAATATCAGACATATTGCACACCTCAATTGGGCTTGTATCTGAGCTATGCGTTCTGCATGGTGCAACTTCGTTAAAGAAAAGTTATACATGTATAGGAGCTTCTTTTTTAACTTATTCTTTTACCGTGTCGAATATCATGCAAATGGTTATGATTTCAATCGTTAGAGTGATAGCATTGAAGTTTCCTATTTTTTATTTCAACAATTGTAAAAAAATGAAGTTCAGATTGGGATGCTTATTTTTATGCTATTTTTATGGGTTTTTATGGCCCTCTTTTCCATTACTTGGGTGGTCAACGTACGAAGAAGACTTGGACAAAAGACGATGCTCTTTAGATTGGAATTTAACCAATTCTAATTCGTTTTCCTATCTCATGTTTGCTTTTATATTTTGTTACATTTTTCCTGCTATAGTGTTGATTTGGTCACTCAACGTAACAAAAAAAACAGTTGATGAGCAACGTGAAAGTAGTTTTCGAAAAAATAGGCCAAATGAACAAATGGAAATATTAGAAAAAGTTTATTTAAAAATATTTTTATGTTCAGCTATTGCTTACTTTGTTATTTGGACACCGTACGCATGCGCAACTTTACTGTCAATTTTTAGAATCAAAACCCCAAGTGTTGTTTTTACGTTTTGCGCGTTGTTTGCCAAATCATCAGCAATTTCAAACGCATTAGTCAACTGTTATATGAATAAGTCTTTTCAAGTCCATCTTAACGAGATAAGAGTGTTTTCATGTTTTATAAAAGAAAATAGAGTCGCACCTAGAATTACTAATGCTTCTGTTACGGAGGAAACACAAGCATAACTCCTGCATAACTCAAGCATACTCGTACGGTGTTTGCGTCATTTAATCTAATTCTATAACATTTCCATACTTTTTAATTCAATACATGATTTAGTTATTAACATTTTTAAACTATTAAAATCAAATATAAAATTTATTTGAGTGATGGTTAAAATCTTTTTTTAGTTATATGTTGTTACTTTAGTCATTATATATATATATATATATATATATATATATATATATATATATATATATATATATATATATATATATATATATATATATATATATATATATATATATATATATATATATATATTATATATATATATATATATATTAAACAGTTGTTTTGCTTTTAATATAATATAATTTGCTGCAACTTCAATTTATTTGGTGCACATTTAAATTTAAAGTTCAATTTATTTGGTTTTTATTTAAATTTAAAAAATGAAAAATAAAGTGCTTTTATCTTTTATTCTTTCGGTATTATTTTATTTTTGTAAACATTTTTTTTTGTTTCTTTTTGTTTTTATATGAGTTAAAAAACTTTGTTTTTATTAAATGCGAAATTTTGTTATTTAACATATTTTATTACGTAAATTTTAAAGCCAATTTCATTTTTTAACTTTACGACGTGTAAAATTTAAAATGTCTCAAAATAAATAGAGTGTTAATAATTTCGTGTAACTTTTAATTAAAACTTCTTTTTTTTTTTTCGTTTTTTTTTTCTTGCTTTTTCCATGGTTCTTAATACGATTTTAATAGAGATGCTTAATTCTGTTAGAATTTCAACTGGTTGATTATTTTTAAAACTTAATTTTTAAACTGGTTGATTATTTTTAAATGCCAATAAAAATAAATAGAATGGTCTTACCGTGAAGTAGGGGGATGGGCAAATTAATGTAGTTGGGCGGATCCAGGAAAAGTTATTATTTGCGTTAAATAACTTCCAGTTCATGGTAATGTCTAGCGGCTGACTTGCCCTGGGTGTTAGGGTGAAACACCCTTAATACCCCTACCTCCTAATAAAGAAGGCTTCTTTGATAAATAGATAAACTGACTTGTAAATATAACAGTTGGCTGTTATGTTTCTTTTAAGTAATTTTACGTAATAAAGTGAAGAAAGTAATAATAACTCAAAGTATTTTATTTTCAAGTAAAACATTTCTTAAATTTATTCGCTTAGGTGGAGAGATTGGTACCGAAATAACCAGGTACTGAAATAACCTGGGTAAAAAGTTACTCATCGAAATGTCTATTTAAAGCAGTAGCACGCGTTGCAAAATAATGTTTGTTATTATATAATTACAATGTAAAACGTTTTAGGATTGCATCGAGCTACGAAACTGTGAACTTTTATCGAATAAAAGTAAATTTTTATGATCATTATATATGGAAAAGATTAGGGTAATATGAGCATACTTGAAGATTTCTTAGATGTAAGCAGTAAAGGTGCTTTGTATTTTTTGAATTAACTTTATGTGGTGATAACAGGAATCAATACCCTAAAAAATTAAAATGATTTTAGGTAAAAAAACCAAAGTAGATTGTTTATATCTGTTATGATATTCTAATGATAATTACATTTTGACTATGAATTAGGTTTTAGGCTCAATTTTATAAACTATTAAAACCCAAATTAAATAAAACAATAAATTTCTCTTTGAGAATTAAAGAAAAAGTGTCCATTTAGTTTTATCAATGTTCAGAGACAACTTATTTATTTTGAACCAATTAGAAACTTTTTTAAGCTTGTTTGTCACGTTATTAAAAAATGTATTTGTATTTTCATGAGATAAAAACAGGTTTGTGTCACTGCAAAGATTATGGTTGATAAGTTTATACATTTATTAAGATGATTGATATATATATTAAAAATAGAAGTGGTCCAAGTATGGTCCAAGTATGGCCCAAGTATGGATCCTTGCGGAACACCAAATGTAATTTTCATTAATACCTGAGAGTCAGAATTTTCATTGCAAACATATTGTTTGCTATTGAATTTATTAAATGTTATATCTTTAATACCATGAAAGACTATTTTTATTAATAAAATCTTGTGATTGACAATGTCAAAAGCCTTAGATAGATCTATAAACACTCCTAATGCAAGTTGAGATTTTTTAAAAGATTCTGATATATTGCGTGTTTGTTGGAGGATAGCGTGCTCAGTTGAATTATTCCTTTTAAACCCAATTTGGTATTTATAAAGCAATTTATTGTCAATAAGATATGTATAAAGTCGGTTATACATTATTCTCAATAGTTTTTGAGAAAAATTGAAAAATTGTTATTTATATAAGTATGATAACCGGTCTTGAAAACAGGAATCTTCGTTATTTTTAGATGATCTGGAAAATATCCTTGAATAATAGATGCTCTAAATACTTTATAAAGTATATTTTTGATAACATCGTAAGAGTTGATTATAATATTTCCATTAACGCCATCAGAAAAAAGTTATGCGAAAGTTAAAGCGAAAAAATATATATAAAAAATATATATAAAAAATAAATATATATAAAATATATATATAAAAAAAAGTTAAAGCGAAAAAACGAGGGGAAGATTAAACACGCTAATTGCTTACATTTATGCATTAAGATGAGCGCGGCTAAATTAATTAAAACATAAATAAATATGATAGCATTTGCAATTTATCTAAAAAACTTTAAAACAGAAATGACTCGTTCTTGCATTTGTGAAACACAATCAACTTACATTGAAGCGCAATAGTAACTTGTAGTAAAACAAATCAAGATATACCTTTAGGACTTATCAGTTTAGTTGATTGGGGATTGGCAGAACGTTTGTATATGTCATTGCAACAGTTGTGTGTTATTTGATATCTACAAATCAACGTCATCTGTTTTTATCAAACGGTATACTAGGACGAGAATGTTATCAAGGTTTCACGAAACAACAGAATTATAAATTAAGCATCAGAGCAACAGGCTGATTTCGTCTATCAGACTTCTTCTTGTACCGATTACAAAATAACAAGTTATTTAAATACACTTTAAAAACAATTTCTTGAAGCAAATGTCTTTGGTATTTTAAAGTATTTACAATATTATTAAGACTGTAATTTGACGTTGCTAATGCTTTAGTAGAAATGATAAATTGCGCACGATCACTAAAAAATAATTTCTTATTCGAGCTGATTTTGAAAGGTTTAGGAGTGGAATGGTCTTTTTGCTTTAAAAAGTTTGAAATCTAGTTGTATTTCTTGACCATACATTCTTACTGTTAATTTTTAAATGATTTCACGTCCTAAACTTGTTACTAGTAACTTATACGTGTACCTCTGGTTTAAAATAACATCGTATAGTAATCGGATTAACCCAGTGACAGCAAGCATGGATGGTAAAAAAGTAGAAAAACGAACAAGTATATAGTAGTACCTGATGATGATGCAATAGTTTACGGGTTAAGGTTAACTGTAGCAATTTTTAAATCCCGGTTAGGATTTAATAGAGTAGGGGAGGATGGGTAGGAGTGAGCCAAGGGTAGGAGTGAATCGTTGATCCTACAGCTAAAACGGGAAATGAAAAAGACTCAAAATTTTCAACAAATAGTTGCATACAAGTTGTTGTTAACACAATCCAATTTTTTTACCCCTTCTTCGTGTGGGTGTCTGCGTTAACGTTATCATCAACCCTTTTCTGTGCAAAAGTAAATTTTTTGTATTTTTTGAAACTTCTTTAATGAGCATTCCGGTTGTTTCGAGACATTAGATAGTGGTTGAAAATTTACTAATAAAACATGTAGTTTTTCGAACAAAGTATTTTACATGCACAAACCACGTACTTATTGAACATTTAATGTTTTAATTCAGTTGCTCAGCTTGGGGAGGAATGAGCCATTCCATCACGGGTAGGAGTGAACCGCGGCTAACTAATACTTCACGTTAAAAAAGTTTTGACTTCAGCGTAAAAACATATTTACGTTTGGCTTTAATATCTTAGTATATCATTAGAAAACTCGTGTGCAACATTGCATTTATTTTTACCACATGTTATAATGCCTCAAGTCTATAAAAGAACAACTTCAAAAGCACAAACCCCCAGTAAAAATATGAAGGATGCATTACATTCGATCCAAAAAGGAAAAAGTATTAGAGAAACTGCAATAACTTCCAAAATACCATATCCAACTCTTCGTCGTTATTGGAAAAAATTTTTGCTTGATGAAAATACAAGACTTAGCCCGAATTATTATGTTAAAAGAATATTTACAGACAAGCAGGAATTAGAATTAAAGGAATATATTTTGACTTGTTCAAGAATGTTCTATGGCCTTCCAATTAAAGAATGTCGGTGTATAGCTTTTGAGATGGCAACCATTAATAAAATTAGTATTCCACAGAAGTGGCACAAAAACTCAATGGCAGGAATTGATTGGATGAATAATTTTAGAAAGCGACATCCAGATTTGTCTCTTAGAACACCTGAAGAATGTTCTCTCTCAAGGGCAACATCATTTAATGCCCATAATGTAAATATATTTTTTGATAAATTAAAAGAACTTCTTGCTAGATCACCAATATTTGCCAATGGAACTCGGATTTTTAACCTTGATGAAACTGGAACTATTACCGTGCAGAACCCACAAAAAGTATGTTAATCTTCAATAATAAGTATATTTTTATTCGTGGCATATTTTTTCTTATATATAACCTCTAAATGTTTAGGTTCTTGCAAAGAAAGGTGTGAAGAGTGTCTGCAAAGTCACAAGTGCTGAAAGAGGAACCCTTGTCACAACATGTATAATAATCAGTGCTTCTGGACAATATCTTCCACCAGTAATTATTTTTCCAAGAGTGCATTTCAAGGAGCATATGTTGTTAGGAGCTCCTTCTGGATCTCTCAGACTTGCATGTAAAACAGGCTGGATGAACGGTGAACTTTTTTTAGATGTTATGAATCACTTTATCAAGTTCTCGTCAAGTACAAAAGAAAATCCATCATTATTAATATATGACAATTTTGAAGCGCACTTATCTATAGCAGTGTTAAATTTAGCAAAGGAGCATGGAGTGACCATTTTGACATTACCGCCTCATTCCACGCATAAGTTACAACCACTTGATGTGGGAGTTATGGGGCCATTTAAAACTGCATATAATGCAGCAATTGATTCCTGGATGCTCCACAATCCTGGAAAAACATTTACAATTTACCAAGTTGCTGCATCTGTAGGGCTTGCTTTTCTGAAAGCCATAACACCATCTAACATTGTAGCTGCTTTTAAAAAGACAGGTATATTCCCTTATGACAGGAACGTGTTTACAGATATTGATTTCATGTGCAGTTCTGTGACAGACAGAACTTTTGATGTTAACAATACTTACATAAAAAATCACGTAAGCATTACTTCTGATAATTTTTTTCACCCACATGTTTCACCAAATGCAGACCCCACTACCTCTACTACTATAGATACAAACAAACTAGTTACCAATGATACCATGGTTAATCTGTCTACATCATCAGATTTCTTTATCAGCCCTAAACAATTTAGAGGTTTTTCGAAATCTGGAAAAAAAAACTGTAAAAGAAGGGAAAGGAAGAAGGGTTGCTCTATCATTGCCACAGACACTCCTGAGAGAGATCGGATTGAGAAAAGGCTCTGCAATAAAAAGTTAGTCAAACTTACAAAAGAATTAAAAGCAAATTTACAGAAGATTAAGAAAAAATTACTTAAAAAAGACGATTCTGTATTGGAACATTTGACAGCCACAAATGAAAAAGGTTTAATAATCCTAGAAGATGATTTGTGTGCTTGATATATATATCCTAAAGAAGATGACTTTGTATTGGTTAAATTTGAAACAACAAAAAAAAATTGTTTTATGTTGGAAAGGTTTTATGTGTAAACTCTATAAAAGAAGAAGTTACAATCAGTTTTCTTCGGAAAAAAAGTGATATTTTTAAGATGCCTAATTCACCAGATATTGTGACTATCCCTAGAATGGATGTTAAATTGTTGCTACCTCGGCCAACTTTTTCTGGAACAAATAAAAGGCAGCATTGCTATTACAAATTTGAGGTTGTGTTTGACTATATCAGTATTTGCTAAATATTATTTTTATTGCCGGTATACTATATGCTAATATACTACTTTCATTACATATATGTAATGATATTAAAAGTATATATATGTATATATATATATATATATTTTTTTAATTTTAATTCACCTCCTCAAGGCCGAGAAGGCCACTACAGACGAGGAGGCTACTTATTTGTGGCTATAACCCTCTCTCAACTCTATAACTCCAAAACACGAACCAATAGCAACACCTGCGTTATTGTTCAAGTTATTAAAAATCTAAAGATATTTTGATATTTCTTGGATTACTATTAGAAACCTAATACTTTAGGCTACCTTAGGCTCCTTATCCTATACTTTTCCACTTTTGGTTTCCTTGATATAATCGATTTTAAAAAAAGTGGCTCACTCCTACCCATCTTCCCCTACCATAACTGCTATTTAAACTTGAATCCATTTGTTGATATATATTAGGAGATCGGATTACTTTTCAATATATTATATTGAATATATTATATTAATATATTGTTTAAAAAAGTATTCAATATGTATAGTCTAGTTACACTGGAAGTAAATATCCTATTCTTAGAAAAGACAAATGGAATAAATGAGTTGATTTGGTAATGCTACCTTTTAAATCAGACAAGTGTTAATATTATTAAGGGAAATTCAAAGACAACAATAAGATCAAGTAGAAGAAACATTAAAAAGTAGTCAAAACACTAAAATTGATGTTTAAAAAATGTTATTTCATTAATGGAAGTATACCTGTAAAAGTAAAAAGCGAAAAAGTTATTTAAGTTACTAATAATGTAAGAGAATTGTATGTAACACTGATTTACAATTTAAATTTAAACAAAGCTAAATTTAAAACAAACTTTAATATTTTTGATAATAATACTGTATTTGATGTAGATAACCAGAGTGAAATTTATTTTGAATTTGCAGTCGTTAATCCCAGTAGGCACGCAACGTTTTATTCACGTTTCAATCACGTGTATTTTCGGTGACCTCGTCCAGATAACTGTTTTACGTTAATAAAACGTGAAAGTTAGGTTTCCAAATGTTTTTTTCAAAAGTATCTATCACAACGTTTTATATTAACAGTAATAACGAATTACTTTTAAAGCGTTTGTGATTACAGACGTGGAAAAAAATTTTTTTGTATTTATTTCTTTTTATGTTATATTATATATATTTATTTTATTATTTTTTTTTTACTTTAGTTTTATCATTTTGCATAAATTTTATATAGAAGTTTTCAAATAGTTCAAAAATAAAATAGTTTAAAAATTCAAAATCCAAGTATAAAGAAACAGGTAAAACAAATACAGTAAAATTTTTCAAAATTATAGATCCAATTAGATTCTGTTATTGCAGATGATTCTCGGATTATCACACAAAAAAGGTCAAACCCTAGTACAAGGTGTGCTTCTATTCTACTTGATGTCATACCATTTTAGACTTTCTAATTTGTCCATGTAATATACATTCAGGGTTATTCATTCTTGTATGCGTCTTTATTCATTTTATATGCGTGTTTATTCATTCTTATAAGCGCATTTATTCATTCCTATATACATATCTATTCATTTTTATATGCGTTTTAAAAAAGCCCAGTTTCAAAACAAACTGTTTTTATTTTCTGGTAAACAAGGTTAATAATTCTTAAGACGAAGACTTTTTATATTAGATGATGGTTTATTTAATTTAGTATGTTTAATTTTATCATTAAACAAAGACCTAATACTAAATTAAATTTTATCGTACAACATGTCATAATAAAATGTGGATTAACAAGTATAACTAAGTATAGCGTAAATAAATAGTGTTCCTTACCATAAAAACTACCAGTATTATTTAAAAATAAAATTAGAAAAGAAAAAAAAAAGACAAGAAATTTTTTGTTACTTCAGATATATACATGTTGTTGTAAAGGAAAACTCGTAGAAGTCTATACTTATTTTCGAGTACCTCTTTAAAAGGTTAATTAAAGTCTATTACATTTTTACATAGAGTCAAAAGTGCTAAAACAATATACAGTCAGTGATACACATAAATATTTTAGTATAAATTTTAATGTTAAGTTTAATACATGTCGATATAATTGTTGATATTAAGTATAAGGTGTTTTAATTTATTTTTCATATTGGCAGCATTATTTAATACTTTAAGTTCTATATTTTTGGATATGATTTTATTATATAGGTATGGACCCCGGTAGGAAATAGAAAACCGTGAGAACTTTGTTGTTCTTTTAGGCAGTGTGAAGTTGCCTGTTGCTTTTGTTATATATCTATTTACTTGAGTTTACTTGAAAGAAGTTATCTAAAAAATGCGATAGGATTAGTCCAAGTTTGTATTTAAGCATAAATAATACATTTTAGTAGATATTGGTTTGGTAAAAATAGTACATTCAAGGTTTTTAGTAAGGGGTGAGTTTATCTTTATTATAAAGTAATCTTGATGCATATTTTTGACTTATGTAAATAGTACTAAATTTAGATTTGTGTAAACTTGCCCATGTAATGTTAGCGTACGTAAAATAACTTTTGATGTATGAAAAAAAAACGATTTAAGATTATGCTGGGATAACATAGGTTTAACTTTGTAGAGTATCTCACTAGATAGATATTAAATCTAGAAGATATTAAATTGTAATTAGGAATTTCTAAGTTTGAATTTATTCTGGACGATTCGTCAGAACACCATGTCTCGGTTAAACAAATCATACTGAATAAATAATTGCATTCGGTTAGAAATTGCTTAAGCTTATCAATGTTGTTATTTATACTTCTAATATTTATGTGTAATGCAGTGAATTTATTCCTTAAAGTTGTAAGTTCAGTTTTAAAAGTTTCTGTTTCAAAATATTGAGAACCAAAATTTATTCCGCGAAAAATCTGCGCATCTGCGTCATTCAAATCGTTGAGTAGAACATTATTTGCCGTTTCGAAGACATTAAAGTGCAGCGTTTCAAAATCTATTGTTTCGTTATTCATTGTGCTTAAAATGAGAAATTAAAAGCGCTTTGAAAGAAAAAAAAGTTAAGGAAAATACTCATCGCTACTTTTTAAAATCTCGACTAAATATTTTATTATATTTTAAAATGGCGTATTTACCTTCACTTCGAAGTCGTCTCACCTCTTCCCAAAGTTTCCTTCGTTGTTCAATCGTTTCTTGCGAAAAGTCCTCGTTAATATACACACCAGTTCGTTTAAGATTTTTTACAGCATTCAGAATTTTGTTTTTATCCTGGAAATTTAGGAGTTTTAATACTATTGTTCTAGGTTTTTTATTATTAATTGGGCCAATTCGATGGGCTCTTTCAATAACCACTTCGCTTGATATTTTAAGATTTTTATTAAAGATTTCTTTCACTGCAATTTCACACTCGCTCCAACTTTCTCCTGGTTTTTCTACTAGTCCATCTATTCTGAGATTATTTCGACGTGATCGATTTTCCAAATCTGTTGTTCTTGTATACAATACGTTGATTTTATTGTCGAAGTATTTTTTTATTTTTTTAAGTTTTTCTAAAGTTTTTTCTTCTTGGAAATTTAGACTATCTTTAACGTCGTTAAGATCCTTTTCTATATTCTTAATTTTTGATTTGTTTTCTAAAATTTCTTTCTCCATCACGTTAAGTTTATCTGATATGATTTTAAGGTTGCCACTTACAATTAAAGTAAAAGTTTTCTCTTGTTCCTTGAGTAGCTTTTCTGTTTCCTTTAAAGTACTTTTCCTATTTTCATCTAATTAATTTGATATTAGTATTTCAATGTTTTTCATTGTGATTTCCATTGCTTTTTTATTTACTTAAAACACGTCTTACTCTCGTAGATTATGCCGAAAAAAAAAGATTATGCCGAATAATCCCGTAGATTATGCCGAAAAAAAAAGATTATGCCGAATAAAATAAGTTTGTGTCATTGGCAAACATAATTACATCAAGTTTTTATAAAGCTTTTGTAAGGTCGTTAATGTATAGAAGAAACAGAAGAGGTCCAAGAATGGAACCTTGGGGGACACCGCACTCAACTTTTAGTAGTTTTGAGTGTTTATAATTATCTGAAAATCACATTGTTGTCTGTTGCTTAGATAGTTTTTGAACCAGTCAAGGGTTATGTTTTTTTAACCCATAGTTTTCCATTTTTTTAAGTAAGATATAATGATTTACAGTATCAAACGCTTTTGATAGGTCTTTAAAGATGCCTAGAACATACTGTTTTTTATCAAAAGAATCACTTATATTGTTAACTAGATCTAGCATTGCGTGTTCAGTTGAATATTGTTTTTGGAAACCTATAGGTTTCCAAAAACAATATTCAAATAAAAAGCAATTATTATTGCTTTATATTTAGGAATTAATTTTGGATTAAATATTCATACAATCTGCTATAGATTACTCTTTCAAGATAGAAAAGGTAGGGAGTACCAAGATAGGTCTATAGTTATAAATTAAGTATAGTTCACCTGTTTTAAATATTGGTATTACTTTAGCTACTTTTAACTTGTCAAAAAAAACATTTTTCTTCGAACTTTTTTTATTTTTTCAAACAAATTTTTGTATTGTTTGTAAGTATTTAGATTTTTTTCATTTCTATTTTTTAAATACTTGATGTAAAGTTTGTTTTGTTTTTTTGAAGAGTTTTTTATACCTCTAGTAATCCATGGACATTGTAAGTGTTTTACTTTTAATTCTTGTTTTATTATATGGAAGTGAAACCAAAACCAAAAAAATAGTCTCTAATTTTAGTTGTCAGATCATTATGAATGTATGTCATAATTCAACCTCCTTGTTTTTCAACTTTTCGCTCATTAGATAATAGTTTGTAGTTTGGAATTAATAGGATTGAATTTATTCTGGATAATTTGTCAGAACACCAAGTTTCTGTTGAGCAAATCATACTGAACAAATAATTACATTTTGTAAGAAAATGTTTTAGTTGGTCAATATTGTTAATTATACTTCTTATATTTATGAGTATCACCGTAAAGTTATTATTTAATGACTTAATTCATTTTTAAAAGTTCCTAATTCAGAAAAAATTATTTTCATGAAAAACTTGCAAATCTGGATCGTAAGAGTTATTAAGTAAAAAGTTATTAGCCGATTTAAAAAACATTAAAGTGTTGCGTTTTGTAATTCTATTGTTTGTTTAGTCCAAGGAGGTTTAATAAACCTCCTTGTTCTATTATTCTATTGTTTTGTTTAGCCCAGGGTTATATTGTTTGTTTAGGCCAAGGAGATTTCTTAAACCTTCTTGGTTTAGCCATTAGTTAAGAGAATTAAACTAAAGTAAAAACTTTTTTTAAATTTACAAAAATGCACTGCAGTTTTTTTCTAAGAGGGAACGCGTTCCCTTTTAGAAAAAAACCGCAGTGCATTTTGGTCTTTGAATTCACCGAAAATAAACAAATTATCAAAACATATTATCATATCTGCAATAAACAAAGTTGATAGCTATGAAATTAGTTTGGAACATGATTCAAATGATGTTTATATTGATCTATATTTTTTAAAAACATTTTAATCGCTATTCAACCAGTATTTCGAGAAATAATCTACTTAGTTTAATCAAATAGATGCTGAAGAAGTTGTACAGGAACAAATAAGCTCTTGATCAAAATGTCTTTCCTTACTACCTAATATAAGCCAAGAAAAAATACATAAATACTTAATTATAGACAATAGTTTGACTGATTTCGGAGCTAGAGGTGCTTCAAAGCATAAAATTACCCAGAATACCCAGATCAGCTATTTAAGGAGAACTTATGTCAACATTGAAACAAATTCTTTTCTTATTAGAGATAACGTTTCAGCGAGTGGTTTAGAAAAGAGTGATTTAGAAAATCTAAACAAGTCACGAAAGTATCAGGAAATAAAAAATTTTTTGCAACCCCAATTTTTGCACATAATCCAAACGATGAAAAAATTAAAAAATGTCTGATAATTTATATAATCTGGGAGAAGGAATAGCATTTGGAAATCTTTTAAAAAGAAGCAATTATCATTCCACATCCTACTATAAAACATTGATATCTGAATATCAGCTTAAGTAAAAGAAATGGATTTAAGTTCTGATCTAAGTTTAATGTTATATTTAATCTTGTTGATACCATAAGTAATGAATATAAAGTAGAATTCAGTGACTCATTTGAATTTGATGAAACTCAATTAATGTTTATTTCAAAATATTTAGTTTTATCAAAAGAGAAAATAAAGTCTTTGGAAAGAGCTACTTTATTACAATCTACAAGTTTATGGCTTGCAGAAAGAAAAAAAATGCTTGACATTTGGTTTTGTTATTAATAGACAAAAAAGTATATTTCCTGCCTCTATTTTGAATAGAATTTTGAAAAACAATAAAAATAACTTTTGCAACAAAGCTTGTAATAGGGGTAAAATAAATGAAAACAATGCAATAGAAAAGTATAAAAATATAAAAAATGTATCAGTAACAAGATGCAGATTTATCATTAACCCAAAATGGCCTTGGCTCGGTACAAGACCTGATGGACTTGTATTAGTAAATGAAAAAATAAGGGCTATTGAAATTAAATGTCCTTATTCAAAAAAAGATTTACCTATAGCTGAAGCTTGCCAAGTTAAAACATTTTTTCTTGCTGTTGTTGATGGCAAAGTAATGCCTTAACAAAATCATGTTTATTTTTATCAATGTCAAGGTGCTATGGCATTATTAGAGATCAAAGAACCAGATTTTTTAGTTTATACTGAAAAAGATGTTTTTATTGAGAGTATTAAATTTCTTAAAGAGCAATGGGAAAAAACTACTTTACCAAAATTAACAAATTTTACTTTGAGTTTATACAAGAAAATATATTTGCAGTTTAGATTAAAAGTTTTTATATTTTTTACAAACATTTTATTTATCTGAAAAAAGTTAAATCTATTTTTTTTTTTCAATGTTTGTATTTGACCCTGAATATATAATTTTGCTTGCAGCAGGTTCTAAATATTTTATTAGAACTTTAAATAGATTGTATGATTCAAAGTCAGTGGCGGATTTAGTATTGAAAGCGGGGGGCGAGCTGCCCTACGCTCCCTAGAACGATCAAACGGCGCTCTCTAAAACATAAAAAAAAACTCTAAACTCTGAAAAAAGAAACATTGGTATTAAACTCTGCAGAGGACAACCATATGGTGGTGCTTATGTAATGTTTGTGGTCTTGAATATAAGCGCTTTTACCAAATGCCATCTATGTTCATTGTTGTGCTCATGTTTTAAATTTGGTGACCATCGAAGAAATGTCTGTAAACAGCAATGTCCTAATGTTTTTAGGCACAGCTAAAAAATTTTATACGTATCTTAGGTCTAGTTTAAAACGGCTTCATATTCTCAAAAATCACCAGAAACGTCTATATGAATCAACAGTAGATACTCTGATACAAGATCTTTTTTGATACAAGATGAGCAAGTAGGAAGCATGCAGTTGATGCTGATGTTTAATCTTTTTCTGCTATTCTAGCAACTCTAGAAGATATAAATCTAGTGGAATTTAAAGAATATACAGGATGTTAAATGAATGTTAAAGCAGAATGTTGAAGCAGAATTGAACTATCAGCTTTAATAAAAAAACATTCATTTGCTTTTCTAATGTTATTTTTGCTAAAGTTGTTAATTAATCTTTTAGTGTTATCTAACTATTTGCAAGAAGAAGATATAGATGTTTTATTTGCAAAACAGTTGATTGATGTTACAAAAAAAAAGTTTGTAGATATGAGAAACGATGAAGCTTTTGAAACTCTACATTTAGCAGACATATCATTTATTAGTGAAAAATGTGCCGAACTAGATGTAGAAACTAAATTTAAAGAAAACTCGTCCATCTTTAAATTCAGTTAGCCTAACATCATGCCAAATAGAAACGCATGACAGGAGAGCTGTGAAGAGATAAAAGAGTTGATGATCCAACTATACACCAAAAATTTGAAACCTACTTCAATGTTTTGGATACAATTATAACCCAAATAAATAAACGATTTCACGACTTTAGTAACACAGTTACACATTTTGATTGCCTTGATCCGTCAGAATTATTTAAAGAAAATATTAATTCATTTAAAAATTAATGTCAAATTTATTGTAATAATGTAAATGCTGAAAAAGCAGTTTATGAGACTTTCAATAATGTGTATGCATCAATATTCCTATCACTGACAACTCACATACAATTGAAAGATGTACTTCAGTTCTTGATTGAGAAACAGATGGCACCCGGTCTTCCTGACTTGTTTATACTTTACAAAATCTTTTTGACTCTTCCTGTTACATCTGCTAAATCTGAAAGAAGTTTCAGTAAACTAAAAATTATAAAAATTATCTTGGATCAACAATGACAAACGAACGTGTTTCTGGGTTAGCATTAATTTCTATTGAACGTGAGCTTGCTAATAAAATTTATTTTGACTTGTCGATAAATCGTTTTGCTTCAATGGAATCTCTTAAAATTTGTGTGAACTACCTGCAAAGTGTATTTTTTTTCTAAATGCTAACTTTTGAAATATATCTAGTTAAAAACATTTTTAAATGACCGAACTATTTCAGTATTATTAAATGTTTCTTACTTTATAAAAGATAGTTGTTAACTAAAATAAATAAAGGAAACTAAAA